TAAGCATGTGAAATTGTACCGTAAAACTTATAGGCGTTCCCGACCACTACACGTTCTGGACCAAAGTACGTTCTAGACCAGTCACTCTAGACCAAATTACAAAAAAAAACCGTCGTTTTTCAACGCCTTTTTGCCACCATCCCCCTTAGTCGCGCGCGCGCGTGCGCATGCGCATGGGGCTCGTTCTGGCGAGCGTACTACTGGGGGGGTAGGTGAGGGGGTGTAGATAGCAGAGAATAAACGATACGCAACTACTGGGGGGGTAGGTGAGGGGGTGTAGATAGTAGAGAATAAACGATACGCTGTAAGGAGTTTATCTATCTTTATTTTGAGGTACGTTATGCATAAACAAAACATTGTACATCTTGTTTTGCTATTCTGGGAAACTTTTCTTAAATTCTTCCACTGTATACTCTTGATCTCGATACTCTAGTTTTCCACCATGACCGACTAGCTTGTGCAGTCCATATCTACCGCAATGTAATAAGTTGTCTTTCATCGTCGTTATAGGATAATAATTTAAGTGATGTCCGATCACATACCCTATAGTTCGGTTGTCTTCGTTTTTAATCACTGTACCAAATGGCAAGCCACCTGGCGTTCCATCGTAATAGAACGCTGGGTATTCTTGTAGCACGACCTTGTCGTGTTGATAGATTACGTATATGTAAAATGTTCCATCTTCTTGAACTGGTACAGTGAAGTCGAGAACTTTTATTACCCGTTGATTATTAGTGTGTGACGTCATTATTGCATTTAATTAAATGTTCACAGTTCAGTGGTTGACTGATGATTGAAAAGATTACATTGTATGTAGATATATATAGTACTTAGTCATTTGCAGATATTTTTAGACGTTTAGTCATTTTGGATGCAAATTTCTCACATTTCTCCAGTCTCTTAATTTTTTGTAACTGAGTACGTTCTTTTTGTTTCAGTGTTTGTAGTCTTTTACGTTCCTTGTTTAATTTTCTTGAAATTTCACTGAATTTCTTTTCGCATAGTCTGTTGACTTTTCGTAGATAACCTCCAATTATGCGCAGTTCATCGTTGTTCACATGTTTTCTATGAGTCACAATAACCATATCATCTGTAGGACTGCTTTGCTCTTCAATATAATTGTTTACCAACTGTTGCATATCCTTTCCAGCATTACGATTTGCAGGAGCTGTTGGCGATACATCAATGGTGGTTGAATTATTAAAAATATCATTTCCGATTAAGAATTCATCCATATCAAAACTATCAGCCTACAAGAAAAAAAAAAATGAACGAATTAGCTAATGTATATTTTTATGTAACCATGATAATAAAACTTACTGAATGTACATAATTATGTGTCAATTTCAGATTTTGAGCAGAATTTTCTTCCATGGTAACTAGTTGTTGCGAACACAGCTTGGCTACGACTGAACATAACTATCTAAGGAAAGTGAACTACTAGGAATTTGTTGACGTATGTCATGTGTGACTTTCGAGAAGTATGAGTGTTTTATGATATATGTGCCTATATGTATATAAATAATAATACACGCCTATGCAATATAGAATAATACTGATCGTACCGCTGCGCTGTATGAATATGTGTGCTGAAGAATATTCTATAGATTTTAGTGAATACAATTCGTATGAAAAACGTATCAGTACATTTGAAAAAGGATGGGCTGGAACCATTAATCCTGCAGTTCTAGCAGCAGCAGGTTTTTTTTATGTTGGAAGTGAAGATATTTGCCAAGCGTTTTGTTGTGGGATAATAATGTACAAATGGAAGGATGACGACTGTCCTATTAAGGATCATCTAAAATTCTCAAAAAATTGTGACTATGCTAAACGAATGCAGAAGCTATTGAATAGAATGGGAAAGAAGACGGACAAGAAATTTGATATAATGCATCATGTGATTTTACTTTTAGCTTCATGTTTATTAGTTCATTTTGTAAGTTCGATAACATTAACGATTAATAAAACAATATACTTACAACAGAATTTATTTTGTAAATATTATCAATATTCACACAATTTGGAACCTTAATTTGGTACATTGTTACAAATATGAATATTTCTAAGCTAACAATCATTTTTTGTTTTTGTTCATATTCCTCAATACACTTTTTGAGGTTATGTAATTTTCTCAGATAGGCATCTATTGAAGCGGCTACTGTAGTGTGGTCCATCTTGTTGCAAGGATGACTGACAACTATTTTCTCATTAACGCAAGAAGCCACTCTTGAAGCTCAGCACAGTTCCTTAAAGCACACATACATAGTCTCAAACTGTGATGTAGACATCGTGGTTTATTTTTATTGAAGTTCAACACATCTAGACTGGTCTGGAGTACATCTTCTAAGTTTATGATTTCTGGTTGGAATTCCTCATCGCGAAGGGAAGATAACAAAACTAGTTTTTGATGTCCTTTAACGTATACAAAATCAACGTCTGATAAATGCGACTTGATGATATCCTTCAATTGGTGCTGTTCCAAGAATCCAGAGGAATATTTCAAACCATGATAATTTTTTTCCAGCCATCGCACTTGCACTTTATCGTTTGTATTTAAGAAACAAAACGGCGTCAATGGTTTAAAAATATAGTGGGTTATCTGGTTACTAATTGAAATCGCTAATTCTTTAGCTAAAAACCCGTTTGAAAGTTGAAAACCTTGAACATCTACTGCTGCTATTTTCATTGCGTAACCGATTAAGATGATTCTAGTACTACGCACCACGACTGACTGAGAGCTTCGACTGCTAGTATGTTACATTTAAATTAGTTTCCGAACAATTTCGCTTAGCGGTAAATACTCTATCACAGAATCATGAATAATAATACAGTGAGTTCTAGTATCAGCGGGAAAACCTTCAGCAGATTCAAATTCTAGTTTTACATCAACGGTGGACGACTTTAAATCTTCGCTTCGCTTGGAACAATCAATAACAAAATAAGCATGAGTTTTGAATGTAGAATAGTCAAGTAATCCGGTTTATCGTTATCATTTGAATTACGTTTTGGCAAATTGCGAATACATATGATGAGCTTCCATATATTTATTATTTTTAAAATCTAACTTCATATCTTATGAGGATAATAGTCCGAATTAATCATTAACTTTATGTTTGTAAGATTTGCGCTATCTAATATGTGCTTATCCGCTTTTGCTACATCTTTTCTAGCTGTTTGAAAGGCAACAATAACAAATCTTGGAAACTTCTATAGCTGAACTTGTCTTTACTGACCATATAGTTTTCGTGGCATTATGAGGTAAGGATGGTAATTCATGTATTGACCACTTTCTATAACCCATAAGTATAGAAGTATCATTCTTTATCTTTTTAAGTACATCCAATTTAGAAATATGTGTTTAACTTTAAGTTCAATAGAATTTATCTGAATGGTAGCCGTTGCGTCACCAATGACCTTTAGACAATTATGATCGTGTCTGGAACGAACCAAACGTATAGTATGCCTTCCAAACATTGGTTTTCTATAATCAAGAAAAAACCGAGAAGATGCATAAGGGTATGCGAATGAAAACGTCATATCCGCATTCAAAATTGCATTGGATGGAAAATTCCATCCAGCTATAGCCATATGGTTACTATCGTTAGGATTGTAACATAAATAACCTCTTATCATGCTCACAATACCAGGATCACGTACACGATCTAGTTCTTTTCCATTCAATTCATATGAAATTGAATCGAACATAAAAGCACCAGCGTTATTGACTAATTCTACTTTAGCTGAAGCGGTAGTAGAATTACTTTTTAGTAACACCTTACCATCTATACAGATAGCAGCTTCATACATCGCTAACCAGGCATCTTGTTGATTAATAGTTATTTCAATTTCATCATTATTATCAAAAGATTTTACAAATGGATAATATGTACGGTATTCTTCTTTTATTACAGAGTTATCGAACGATGGATTTTCGAATATATGATGGACTGACAACATTGTATCCCAAAGATTTTAAAAACAAAACGTTTGTAGGTGTTAGTGCTTTAGTTGAAGGATGACTTGCCTTCATAAGATGATTACGAAAGACTGAATCATAAGTTGCAAACTTGTTCTTTTTATATGTGTTACTATTGGAGGTAATAGATAATCCCATATTAAGTTAATTTTTTAAGTTCCAGTCTACAATTATCTCTTCCCCTCTAAAGTTAACAAGCTCTCCGTTTTGGTCTAATATACGTAAACTAATGTTATTGATAGTATGTGTTTCGGATACAGGTAAATATATCAAGTTACGAGGTTGAATGTCTATAGCATAACCAGCATCTACGTCAATGGAAAATTCAAAAATTGCGTGTGACGGTTTGCTGTTATAGAATG